GTCAGGGTGTCTACTCTAGTATCTAATTATTGAGTTAATCATGAACAAACGAGGCATAATTAATTACTACTAATAAGAATTTTTTGAATATGGCCGTATTTATTTTATTAATTGCTTTATGAAAATTAACTTGCTTCAATTTTTGGATAATCTTACAACATATATATCAAAAGGCTAATTAATAAATTAGTTATTGGGAGGTTCTTTTTATTAATTAATAAAATAATATTCGGTTTCGTTTCTGTGATTATTCCATCTTTGGGTAGGCACCACTAATTTGCATGCAAGAGTACTATCTTAACTTTAATATATCTTAGTTTAATAATAATCAAAAAAATGTCTTAGTTTAATGGCACAATGGCCACTTCAAAAAGTTGGAATTTTGCATTTCTTTTTTTCTTAATTATATTATATTGGAGAATATGTCATATATCACTGCGTGCACTGTGTGTTTTCGTCCTGTGCATTTCACCTGATTGATGCTATATACATATATATACACACATTTAATTTGCAATCTAAGGGTTCTATTAATTTTCTCGAATTTAATTACAACTAATTATAGATAGTAAAAATAATAATAATAAAAATAAAAATTATTTATGTGTGGTGGAAAAAACGTACACGTTGACTTTAATTTACGGAGCAATTGACGATTCGACCCAATCTAATAGATTCACATGTAAACATAGTAATGGAGCATGAATATATTCTTGCAAGAATTTGCCATTTAAATAGGTTGTCTTCTTTAACGTTGGTGTATGACGTATTTCCCCTAAATAAATTATCTGGATAGAATATATATGTATATAATAAATATCTGCTTCTGAAATCTGAATATAATTGATTTAATTGTATACATTAATATTCTCAATTAAATGTGTTAGCTGAAGATGCTTAATTTGATTAATCCTTGGCACCAAGATCATTGGAAGTGACTGATTACACAATTGGATTACAATTGGAATATCAATTTCTAGATCGATTCCAAGAATAGGAATTAAATTCCTTTGGTATCAAATTAAATATAATGTCAATTTGGAATACACATTATGCATATATCCCATCTGATATGCATAGTCTAATCATATATATATATATTTATGCTTTAACTTTCACTTATCAGCTGATTTTCATACACCTTATCTTTTATCAACTAATATCTTCTCATTTATTCTCTTATCTTTCTGCCATTTATAGATTTTTATTTATTTATTTTATAATGTATTATTTTTTATTTTATTTTAAATTACATTCAAGAATCATGAATTTGGAGTTCAATAAATCACACGCGCGCGCGCGCACACATGCGTACGTGTTACATGTATAGAGACACAATGCAAGCACTTAGCGAGACAGATGCGACAATATCTATATCTGGCCTAACTCAATCATATTTCGAATAAATGTAATGACAATGAATAAGGAAATAAATAAAAACGTGAAAAATAATATTAACGAAACATGAGATATATGTATGTATAGAGAGACCAAGTGGTACGTCGATCTGCAGACAAAATGTACTGGAGTGGGAGCACACTGAAAATGGGCATCTATTCACACTCAATCATATTTTGTCGAACGAAAAAAAAGAAAGAATTCGATCGACAGTTGGTTCCGAGCAATGAACCCATTGTCTACTCTATTTTGTGCACAAAATCATTTCAATTTTTCTTGGAGGGATCAAATTAAATATTGAAAAAAAAAATATATAAATGCTTGATCAATTATATATAGATAATAAGGAAAATTAATTAAATGGAAGCAGGTTGAAATGGGGGTGCCCTAGCTAGCATGCAAATGGAGTACATGAATTAGGTTTCTATTACATTGTGAAAAGTAAATGGGAGCAACGGGTCATATCTATTAATTTGTCTGTTCAGTTTTTATTTTTATTTATTTATTTTTATTTAATTTAATTTAATTATATAATTATAAATCAATCTTTCTAATGAATCTTTAGTTAGTTTTTTGTCTTTAGCAGAGTACGTGATATTCCACTAACAAAATTATTGGAGACAACTGTGATTTAATTTCACTCGTGTCTGATTTTTTTCAAATAAAATTGTGGCAGGTAAAACGTCGACATGATATAAAAATTAATTAATAATCCAAAATTATAATTCGGTAAAGTGTACAATGTGTTCGAATCTATTTCATTTTAAGTTGGAATCCAAAATTATTTATTCGGTAAACAAACAAACTATGGGTAAATTACGCCTACTCGTGAAGTAAGAAAAAATATTACAGCTACCTCCTTGTGTGTATATTGAATTAACCCACGAGGGTAGATTTGAAAATTCATAACGAATATTCCATATTTTGCCAGATTCCGTTACTCATAACTCCGTAAGGGTGTAGTTGTAAGACGAAGAAATAGTTTAGGGGAATATTTGTAATTAGCAATATTACAAGGATCGGTAATTTATTTCGTCTTACTTTAGGGGTGTCCGTAATTTACCTTTTTCGGTGTAGTTTTGTCATAGTTCAACAAAAAAAATTATAAAAATATTATTGTTGCTTTAAGAGTTTTCTTTCGAGAACGGGACTTTGTTTTTATGTTGCTCCAAATTATATAATGACGAAAAATATTTGTACTCGTATTAGCATGAACACCTATATATAGTCCGATCGAGTTGAAATTGCAAGATTTATTTCATCCAATTTAAAACATTTATTTCTTTGGACCGGGTTCACCTATTTCACAACCTTTCTAATACGAGTCTTAAATTGATCAATATATTCACTAAAAAATTGATCAAGATTAACGACGATAACGAATCTTAAATCGATCAATATATTCACTAAAAATTTCATAAATTAATAGGTCGTTACAATACATATATTAAAATTTACTAATTTATTAATTATTAAATATTCACTAAATTAATAGAACTTTATAGTTACGATGTGCTGCACCACGTATAACATTTGTCTCACTCAACATTTAAAATTCATTTAATTACATAAGTCAATATGAAAGCATGTATTAAATTAAATAATACCTAGAAGATATATAAACCGTCCATGCATTATACAACAAACTTTTTCATCACCAAATCGTTTTGGAGAATGCATTCTCCTTCGTTCTTTTCAATTATTGCAAGCAAAATCATTTTTCAAATAATGTATTTTAATTTATATGAAGAAAAAAGAAAAGAAAAGTTGTGCCTTTTAAAACGAATATGAACTATGTGTACGTTATCCCATGCACCTTTCTTTATGGCTTCTTGTTTTGAAAAACTAAGGAATTATTAAAGGGTGAGACTTATGTCTTTTATTTTGTGTTTTTATTTTGTATTTTTTTACTCACTAATCGATTCATTATCAATCATATTTTCAGGTGTATTAATAATTTTGAATTGACTCACATTGAATTTAGTCAAAAATTTCAACCAATCCATTTATAGTGGTTCAGTTGATGGTTCTAATATTATCAAAATTAAAGTCGATTGATTATCGGTCAACTAACATTATTAATAACATTTTATGAAAAAAAATATATAAAACAAAGACTGTGTTTTTTAAGTGGGCATCGAAATTATCAAAATAGTTAGTATTTTAAATTAAAAAAAAAAATCAACAAGGAAAAAAAATTGACATAAATCTTCTGGAATCGCTATTACCTATTTTGAACTGATAAATGATGGAGCAGTAACACTAGGCAGAATGTGCATACTTTTACACCAAATTTTGGTTTTTTTTAACTAAACCAAGTGGCGGATATACTCATCAGCTGACCCATTTCGGAACCAAATATTTGGTTGCCGATCATCAACCGACTTGAGTTAGCAACGTTTTTCAAATTCGAGTTAAATTGACTTGTCGGATAGATCATTTTCTAGGTCGGTAATCGACTGACTCAATCCAATCTCGACACTACTGCATAATGAATTGATTGATCGGCCAATTGTACTAATATTTTTGAATGAAATAAACCATACATAATTTGATGTTCAATTCATTGTACTTTTTTCTTTCTTTTATTGATCCACGAGTGCGATTCTTGTACATTTTGCTAACTTATATGAATAAGTGTTGAATTATTGCTTGTTAGAAAAAAGTCATGGTCAAAGATTCAATTTACGTGAGACCATGGTCTTCATCTTTATTTCAATCATGCACCCATTAATTAAAGCTATCCTCGGCTTTACAACTTTAATTAATTTCCTGTGATTTTCTAACTAATCTGCTAATTAAAGCCTAAAAAATAAATTAAACACCATTAAGAAACTAATTAGAGATCATGATCACTTTCTAGAAAAACCAAAACAATATTATCGTTATCTTTACAAAGTTCAAATATTTTCAAAAATATTTTTGTAGACGAAGGGAATTTTGAAACTCATAATTTTATATGTATTTAAAAAAAAATTATATATTGCATTTACATTTTAATATGTTTTCTTTTTAGATTTTATAACTCTAGTCTTGTAATTTTAGTCTTAAACCTCTATAAGTTAATACATTCAACACTAATAAAATTCTATTAAGTCAGCGAGATATTAAACTATCGAACTAATAATTTAATATGCTTTTATCGAGTCGGGACCAGAAGAAATTATTAATTAAGCAAAATTATTGATTTATTGATGTTCTACTGTAATTCAATTTGTATTTTTTCCCATTCATTTTTTTTTTTCTTTGCATTGAAAAACGGCTTTCTTTATATTTGTGGAATATTCAGACAAGTCTTTATCTATTACTTTTGATCCTTATTTATTTATTTATTTATATTTATAAGTCTTTTTCCCTATTTTTTTTTCTCCTTTTAGGCCATTTGTCTCGTTCATATACCTTCACGCAAAGGCATCGAGACTTATTTTATGTGTTGAGGTTCATTTCATTTCAAAATGTGTCCCTCATAATAATTTCGAAATAAAAAAAAAAAAAAAAAAAAATCAAATATACTTTAAAATAGAATATGAAAAAGACCATCCATCATAAGAACTTGATCAAATGAAACTTTGAATAGAAAAATTAATCACAACTTATTAGATAAGAAAATGACAATTAGATAAATCAAAATTAAAATGAATATTTTTCATTTATTTGTAAAATTTATGCAGGTCTTTATCTATTACTTTTATTTATTTATTTCCTTTTTTGATGTATATATGAATAATAATTCTATGGCATAATTATTTTTTCTCTTTTGTTCGTTTGTCTTATTGAAACCTAGCTAGATGACTACGCAAAGGCCCCAAAAAAAGAAAAAAAGAAGATGATGCTATCTATACTTGGTAGTTTTCAAATTGAAATTGAATCTTTAGAACTCACACGTTACGAAATTATGGCTAGGCATGGATTGGTTTTATCGACCAGTCGACCCACTTTTGACTCATTTTTCTTGACAAATAATTGATAATTAACCAATTCACATAGTCGGGCCGATAATTTTAACCGACTCACGTATAAATAGACCGGTCAACGGTTGCAATTTTACTTAGAAATCAGTTGGCCGATATTACACCGACCAACTGACTTTTTAAATGATAAAAATTTATTATAAATATTTAATTGTAAAGGGGGTAAAAAATATTGTTTTTAAAAAATGTTTTTTGCTACTTGGAAATCTATTTGGGCTACACATTAAATATTTAGTAATATCCAAAAGTCTTATAAAATTAATGCCTATAACGTAATACCCAAAAATAAGTATTGGGTCAAAGGCCCAACCTCCGAGGGCCTGTTAATAAAACAAAAGATTAAGCGGGACGATTCTGTTATTAAAAAAGAGTTATAAATAAAACCATCGAACTATTATTTTAAGCGGGACGATTCTTGTCATGAAATTATTGAATAAATATTTGAAAACACGTTGTCATCGAGCCGGAACTGAATAATATTATTATTCAAATAAAACTATTAATTTGTCGAGTATTAGTTTATCGAGATTCTACTGTATAATAGATTTATGAGATATAAGTTCAAGTAGCGATCAAGAGTCCAACTTGTTATGATCGGATAAATTATGAAAACCCCCCTAAATTTAGATTAAATTACAAAAGCCACATCCATCTATTCGTAATTATCAAAAAAATCATGAGGTTTGTTTCCATCTTACACCAACTCCCTTACAATGTAAATTTTCACGGATTTTTTTGATTCCACGGAATAAGACTTTACACAATTTCATATATATTCTTTTACTTCTCACCTATTTAACATACACATTTTCTATTAAAAAACTGGATCAACAGTTAATCAGATGGGGATTTTGGTTATTACGTACATGCGGAAGTGTTTTTCGTTATTTAGTCTAAGTTCAGGGGTTTTTCATAAATTTCTAAATATATTTATATACAAATTTAAATAAATTGATTTCTCAAGTAAAATGTAAATAAAAATATTTTTGGAATTAATTGATTGGCTATTGGTTTCCATTGTGTACGTAATCTTATCACTTCCACTGCAACACAAACACAACACAAGTCCGCCTGAAAAAATGGAGTTCGCCGTTTTCTCTCTCCAAACCCTCATCTTCGTCCCCATTTTCTCTCTCCTCCTCCTCTACATCTCTCTCTACGCAAAACCCAAGAAAAATGATCCCCCCACCCACGGCTTCAAAATCTACCCACTCGTCGGAACCCTCCCGGATTTCCTCCGCAACCGCCACCGCTTCCTCGACTGGAGCACCGAAATCCTCTCCCGCTGCCCAACCAACACCTCCGTCTTCCACCGTCCGGGAAAAGTCCACGGCGTCATAACGGCGAACCCCCAAATCGTGGAGCACATGCTGAAATCGAACTTCGACAATTACCCAAAAGGCCCCCGCTTCCGAACCCTACTGCAGGACTTCCTCGGCACCGGAATATTCAACAGCGACGCCGGCGTCTGGAAAACCCAGCGCAAATCCGCCAGCCACGAATTCAACACCAAATCCCTCCGCAATTTCGCCATGGACAACGTCGCCCTAGAGCTCCGCACACGATTAATCCCCATCCTCGAAACCGCCGCCGCAACAGAAAAAAAACTCGATTTGCAGGACACGCTCGAACGATTCGCCTTCGATAACGTATGCAAGGTGGCATTCAACGTCGATCCGAACTGCCTCG